CCCCAAAACCCCAAAACCCCAAAACCCCAAAACCCCTACTTAGATATTCGGAACTGAAGAGTATAATATAAATTATTAAATGAGTGCAGACATAACAACTCAAAGTCTTTGGGATGACTCCTTCTGAACTGTCTCCGAGTACTACAGTCAGTCTCCATCTACAAATGATGTGTACAAGTGGCATAACAGCGAGAGCATCCTGGCTAATAGTCAAGAGGATAGGAGCTCCAGGAAAGGAAAGCTGAGCATAAATAAAATGAACACATGCAACATAAAAGAACCCAAGATGAAATATTTCAATAAAATTGCAAGCTCGTGAGAAGTCTCTTCTGAACTAAGAGAATGTTCTACTTCTAAAAATACAGCTAATATAAAAGGGCTAGTAGAAAATATTACGAGACCGAATAAATTCGGTTATTCCAAATTCCGTTTAGGTATTCTAAAACTATCAGAAACGAAATCGAAGAGTTGGAAAGAAAGATGAAATCAAAGCCAAACTATTGATTCTCCTCTATTGCTGATGAATTTGAAGAAATAGATCCAGACCGATTATCTAAAATTGATCATATCTCTTGACTTCAAGCCCAGTATAATAATTCATCTTAAAAAGTTCTTTTAAAACATCTTTCGATTTCCTCTGTGACATATTAGAAGGTATTTCTAACTTGTGGGCTACCTTAACCCCAAACCATGGCAATGCCACTCTTAAATAGTGCTTTAATGCCAAACTATTGAACAGAAGACTCTGAGTGCTTGTTTGCGTATTAAAGGCCAGATAGGTATACAAAATTGGCTTTTAAATTAATTCAGGGGCGTTAAAACAACAAACATCCCAAAATGATAGAGCTGAAATAAGATTTCAGAGGGAGCTGGTAATACAGGAAGAATCCTAAAATTACTAAAGAAATAGATCCGACACTGAGCAACTTATGGGTAAGTCTATGGACTCCTTCTCCCCACCGTTTTATAATATGCAGGAAGTATATAAAACTGGGATGGCTCTTTATCTTTCGATATAAGCTGTCAATGTTTGAGAAGACGCTACCAAGCCACTCTTGGCACATAACTGAAAGCCATTGGCGTTGGGCGATAAGGACTTCCCAAAATTGGGTAATTTTATTAATTTGAAAATTTTCCTCCAGTAAAAATGGTAATACTAATCTTATTCAAATTAATTTGGAAGTATTATTAACATTTTGTTGAGCAACAGTTTAGTAAAGAGAACCTAGGAATAAAATCAACATTAAATAAGTGTACTCACCAATTTTGATAGATGACTTGTATAGGTGAATGGAAATCCTTCTAACTTTGATCATGAAGACTTCCCCTCATCCTGCAATGCTTTCAGTTCGAATAGATTTGTAACATTCTTAATAGAATAATTTCAGAAATAATCTTCTATAATAACATCTGAAATGACTTTATTAAGAGAAATCCAAGTGGCATAGACATCCTAACAAGGATACTTTCTTTTTCTAGGTGAATTTTTTACCATCCTTAGGAACAGAACCGATTTGTAATAAGATGTTGACAAACCCTAACTATATCTTCTGGAGAAGAGCCTCACATTCAAGGAGATGATTTAACTAGTGCTGGATATTCACACATACTTGCTTTAGAGGCAAGCTATGGCTGAAAGATCTGTCCAGCCCAATCTTTTTGTCAAGGAAAAGCTAATTTCTTGGTTTAAGAAATTTCTGATAATTATTAATTAATGCAAACAACCTGAAATCTCAATCTTAGATTCCTTAGCTTCACTTGATTTAGGATTTACTATTAATAAAAACATAACATTTGGAAATATTTAAGACTTCTCAATATGAACATTTCAGAATTATAAAAATTAACATAACACTCATTTAAACTGGGTAGGAGAACAATTGAGAAGAATATGAAATCAGCTAACTTAACATAGTAAGAGTCATCATTGCTTGCTAGTTAGCCACAATCTAATCTGATCATATCTCCTGCTGATATAAACATAAGACTTTGGCTCGATTAATAACAATCCAAGAGCACTCAACAATAGATAACTTTAGCATTACCATAAGTATGTCCTTTGTGCTTAAAAATCTGTTAAAAACACTAAAGACTTCAGTTTTGACAAGTATGGTCATCTGGCAGCGGGAGTACTTTAAAACTCCAGATATTATAAATAACTTGGCTTTTACACCAAGATGTTCGTGAGATTTACTATTTTCAATATCAAGAATATAGTCTGGGGTTTTGGGGTTTTGGGGTTTTGGGGTTTTGGGG